AGTGCCAACACTTAACCTCATCTTTTTTTTTGTCAATTAATTATTTTTTTTTAAAAAAAAACTGAATCACCATGAGTACAGTTACAAAGCTTTCAGGTTTAAGTCTGGGTAATACAATGATCAAACACCCATCCCTTCACCAGTGCACATTTTCCACCACCAAGAACCCCAGTATACCCTCCATCCCAGCCCTCTTTCTGCCAGTGTGGAAGATGATTTCCACTTTACTCTCTCTCTACTTTTATTACATTCAATTTTTTGACAGAATACCCAGCATTATTTGAAAATTTCCCCCAATAATCAGACCTGCCGAAAAAGCATCATTAGATAATTTGTTTTCTATTGTTGATAATGAAGAGCATATGATGTCTTATGCTGTTGTGGCCACACAATTTTGGATTTCTGATATTTTAGTAATTAAGTCCAGAGGGATTTCTGCCAGAAGCCGCTGGCTTCTGAAATTGGTTTGTGTGCCTCTGGGATCATGGCCATTCAGGAGCCAGAGGAGCTGTTTGTGGGCAGCAACTCGGGGTCTCATCAGGGCGGGGAGAAGGGCTGGTTCCATCCCCCAGCCTGTGAGGCCCCGGGTATCTCGTCACTGCAGGCTCATACCTCTCTGTCCAATAGGCTCTGAAAGATGGCGGTCACCATGCCTCTGAGGGTAAAAAGGCGGAAAGGATAACGCCCTTTCCCTCCCAATCCGCACCTGGGATGGCACGGGGCCATAGCTTAATTCACTGTCCAGAAGCATTTCTGCCAGAAGTCGCTGGGTTCCGAGATTGGTTTGTGTGCCTCTGGGATCATGGCCGTTCAGGAGCCAGAGGAGCCATTTGTGGGCGGCCTAATTCCGTCTTCTCATAGATAGAAACTGCTGAGATTGTGAGGGTGCTCTTGATAGGAAGAAATATGTTTACAATGTGATGCTGGGTGGAAGAGAAAGATCAAGAATCCTCTAGGTATTAAGTAGAAAGAATGAGAATTTAAATTTAATGTAAAGTGTACTGGGAAGAGAAGGAAGAACAGTTGGTAGAGGGAAAATAGAGAGGCCCCCGAGGTGAGGGAGGCAGTCATTTCCATTTCACAGAACTTGGCTGCCTCCCCGACGGTTCCTGGGGGCCACAAACCATGCAGAGATCACACCTGGTGAGGTTTGTAAAGAGTCCACAGGATCCTGGGGACTGCCTGATGGGGCTCCCAGCCCCAAGTCCCCTGCCCATGGGGCCCTCCCATATTGACCCTCTCTGAGGGACAGTTCTCAAGTTCAAATGGAATCAAGAAGGTCCAAGGAACCCAGGATGATCCCAGAGGGTGCTGAAGAACAGCTGCAGAAGTTCCAGAATTAGTGACAGCTCCCTGCCCCCTACCAGTTTAATCTTGCAATCGCCAGTCATCAATGCTATTGGAGAAACTGAGGAAAGGAGTGTCCAGGTCGTGGTCCGAATAGCTCTCCACAGAGATCATCACCAACACCGTCCTGATCACAGGGCCCAGCAACAATGCTGTCACAGCCAGATGAGCAACGCCCACCCAGGAGCTCCAAGCGTCAGAGAAGCAAGCGCCCCCCGCCCCCCCCCCGCCCTTGGTGCAGAGTGTCTCAGTTCCTTTGAGTGTGACTGGGGGCTATGGAGACACACAGCCTCCTGGAGCACCAGAAAAGGGCACCTAGTGGTGCTGCACAAACATCAGCCACCCTCAAGGGAAACATTTGGGATCAAAGTTTCCGGATAGCAGGAACCTTGTTTTCCCCTTCTCTGGAAATGAAAGCCCTTAATTAGGGGCGTTCCAGACTCCAGTCCCCAGGAATCTGGGACCTCACTTCAGATTGTCCTTGGGCGCTCACCAGATCTCCCTGCTGGCGCAGGGTCAGCCGGCAGCTGCTCAGGATAAACTCTGCTTTTCTGCCGACTCAGGCCTTTTCCTCACAATTAATGAGATCCTGCCGCACTTCCCCTGGGAAAGGAGAACAATAGCGGCTGAGTAGCAGGTGGCCTTGGCCTGTGTAAGCCGAGCAGTGAGCCCCTCACCAGGGATCATGGATTCCAGTCCCTTGGAAGCACTGCAGGCCCCAGACCTCCATGTGACCCCCACACTCCCAGGCCTCCCTTCGTTATCACCCCCCTTCCCACCTCTCAGTTCTCACATGATCCCCACCCCAATTTTGACACAATTATCACCTCCTCACAGAGACCCTCATCTCTCCATGTCCCACTGCCGGCCCTTTCCTCCTTCTGAAACAGCTCGATCCAATGACTAGGCCACTTGTCAGGGTGGGCACTCCCCGGTGTTCACCTTGCCCAGACACAGTGCTTGATGTGTCGTGGCAGTCACAACACCCCTTCAGGGGGCTGGCAGACCCTGGCCAGTGTCCTTGCCTGGTCCGAACCAGTGTCCTTGCCTGGTCCGAACTACTGACCTTCTCTTAGCTGGGGCAACAACTTACACAGTGTTGGGGGGGGGGGTCAAAATCAGGTCCCCGTGTACCGTATCTGTACTGTACCTGTAGGTCTGCACCAAAGTTGCGCGAGCTCAGCAGGACCATCCTGGGGAGTCAGGCTGGGGTGGGCTCTGAGATGGATCAAAATGGGCGAGTGGGGAATTGATGCTGCTGGCAGACCCAGGCTGGCTGGAGCGGGTGGCAGGCAGCCAAGGGTCAGCTGAGGTTACAGATAACCTCACTCCATGCCCAGGGCAGGTTCCTGAAGCTCATTCCTGGATACTGGGAGGAAGGCCAATAAGCAAGTGGACAGTTCCATCTTGGGCCTTTGTGATCCACGATGGGGTTAGGACAGAGGGGTGTTCGGAAGGAAATGACCTCAGCCACATAACTGAGAAAATGAGTAAGCCCCACTCAAAGGACACCATAGGCAGAGACCACGAGTGCGAGACAGCCTGTCTGAGCATCTAGAGTCACTTCCCAAAATGGGTGATACCTATGGGGTAGTCAGAAAGGATAACGGAGCAGTAGTGACTTTGGGTGCAATTAGGAGGGATACTTTCTGTGTGTTCACTTAAAGAAGGCTGATTTTCTTCTTTAAATTCCTGCATGATTCTTTTTCTGTAAATAGGGTGACAGACCCAGAAAGTTCGGGAGTCTTTGGGTTCGTCAGGGGTGGGGGTGAAGCATGTGTTGCAGGTCAGGCCGGGCAGGTGCAGGTGAGGAGACGCACCTCAGTCAGCACGGTGTCCTCGGGCATCACTAGCCAGGAGGGTGTTAGGCAGAGTCTAATCAGGGAGGGGTTCAGCGGGTGTGTGGATGTGGGGAGCAGCTATCCTGAGGAACAGACAAAGGAGAAGATCGGAGCCCAGACCACTGGGGTGGCTTGGGCAGGCACAGCAGCATGGAGGCTGGGTTAGAACCCTGGGTAGAAGCCTGAATCGGACATGGGGTGAGTCAGGGTAGGTTGGGTGGAGCAGATGGGGGCGGTCTGCAGGGTGGAGGAGTAGCTGAGGTCTGCTGCAGGATGAAGAGGCAGCGGGGGCAGGACATGGTTGGTGGGGGCTGTGATCCCCAGAGTCCCCGCCCAGCAGGGAGGTGATGTATAGGGTGAGAAAGAGGACAAACTCCACCCACTCTGCAAAGGATGGCAGCCATGGGTGCCTCTCCCTCTCCATGTGGTGAGGGTTCAGAACTCAGCCCCAGATGCCAGGGAGTGGAGGAGGAGTCACCCCCTCCCGGCCCACCCCTTCCCCCACGGTCTGGGCTGGAACAAGACCCTGTTGCCCAGACCAGCCTTTCAGGACAGCCCAGACTCACTGCTCCCGGTTGAAGGGAGTGGGGGAAGGGCGGCCAGAGAGGGACTGGTGCCCCCATCTGAGCCTCAGAGGGGCCCAGGGTCCATCCCAGTGGGCCTTTTCAGAAACAGGCTGAGCCATTGTACAGAAGAATGCCCGGAAATCCGCGCCCCCCTTCTCCAGCGAGGATGGGGCTCTTCCTCCGGGCCAGGAAACTCCAAGTTGGCTTCCGGAGGGTGGCTGGGGTGGGGGGCCTGGGGTGTCAAGGGTATCACTGCCAGTAGTAGAGACCTGAGAATTGTCCTCCTGTCCCCTCATGCCTCTCCTGTCAGCTCCGGCTTTCTGGCTGCTCTGGGACTGCATAAGTGCAGGGTACAGGGAGACACTTGAAGCTTCCTGCAGCGGTGTCCCCCGGGAGCCGGGTCTCCCATCTCAGGAAGAGGAGCTGCGTTGGCAGAAGGTGGGAAATCTGGGGAGCCCTGAGGCTGCAGGAGCTCAGAGGGGTCGCAAAGAAGGCAATGGAGAGGCCCCCGCGTAGCCAGTTCGGGTCGTAGGCCCCTCGGAGAGAATGTGAATCCATTGGGCAGTGACACTGGGCAGAACTTTGAACGAAGTGGGAGCCCCGGGCCTCACCGGCACCAACCTGCCTGGTCATTCACGGGAGAATCACCGTGGTACGGAGTCAGAGGAGAAGGGGACAGGGTGCGTCTCATCCCAGGGCAAACTCATAGAGGTAAAGACCGTGCTACGCCGGGCTGAGGCGAGGCGCCCCCTTCCCTGGCCTCTGTGCAGGTAGTGACGGGGAAGAGATGCAACAGACCGTGGACAGGGACCAGTGAAGACCAGGAGCTTGGGAGCAGGGGCCATCAGGCTTCTCGGGGGTGTGTCGGAGGGGGCTTAGATGCAGGCCCAGGGGTTTAAAGTGGCGAGGAAGGGCGCCCCAGGTCTGTCCCGAAGGCCCTCGGCCGCGCCTAGATCCCGAGCTCGGGTCAGGGGATTGTGGACAGCCTCCAAGCCCGAGAGGTCCTGGGGCCCTCCGCTACCCCCACGCGCTGTTGTTTTCCCCACCGGCTGCCCGAGGCGCTGTGATTGGCGGAGGAGCCGGTGGTCTGCACCGGGATTGGCTGCAGGCGCCGGGGGCGTGTCCCGGGAACAGAGCCCGCCCCGAGCCTTCAAATACGAAGCCCACCCCGCGGAGCCCGCAGACCGGCAGAAGCTCGGGGCGAGTGGACCGCGGGTGGTGAGCGGGGACGCGGGCGCGGAAGCACTAGGAACCCCCGCGGGACGCGGAGCGGCTCGGCAGAGGCACCGCGGCGTTCGCCGGGAGGCCCCGGGGGCCGTCGGACGCGCGCCTCGCCTCCAGCCATGGGGTCGGCGGCGTTGGAGATCCTCGGCTTGGTGCTGTGCCTGGTGGGCTGGGTGGGCTTGATCCTGGCGTGTGGACTGCCCATGTGGCAGGTGACCGCGTTCTTGGACCACAACATCGTGACGGCGCAGACCGCCTGGAAAGGGCTGTGGATGTCGTGCGTGGTGCAGAGCACCGGGCAGATGCAGTGCAAGGTGTACGACTCGGTGCTGGCGCTGAGCCCCGAGGTGCAGGCGGCGCGCGCGCTCACCGTGGGCGCCGTGCTGCTGGCGCTCGTCGCGCTCTTCGTGAGCCTGGCGGGCGCGCAGTGCACCAACTGCGTGTCGCCGGGCCCCAGCAAGGCGCGCTTGGCCCTCACGGGCGGCGTGCTCTACGCGGTCTGCGGGCTGCTGGCGCTCGTGCCGCTTTGCTGGTTCGCCAACATCGTGGTCCGCGAGTTCTACGACCCGACCATCCCCGTGTCGCAGAAGTACGAGCTGGGAGCTGCTCTGTACATCGGCTGGGCGGCGTCGGCGCTGCTCATGTGCGGCGGCGGCATCATGTGCTGCGGCGCCTGGGTCTGCACCGGCCGGCCTGACCTCGGCTTCCCGGTGAAGTACTCAGCGCCGCCTCGACGGCCCGCAGCCAGCGCCGACTACGACAAGAAGAACTACGTCTGAGGGCGCCGGGAACGGCGGGAGTCCTCGCGCCGGCCGCGCGCCTGCGAACCGGAGGACTGGCTGGGGGAACCTTTCATGGACCCAGGTCTCCGCTGGAGCGCGCCGCCCTGCGCACGGGCTCGGCGGAAGGCTCAGCTGTGCCTGGACGCTGCTCCTAGCCGGGACTGACCAGCCCCCTGCTCGCGGCCCATTCTTTCAAAATGTCACCCACGGGATCCTGGGCCGCCCCCTGTCCGGAGCAAGTGACACACACTTGGCAGGACCTGCTTGGTTTCTCTGTGCCAACTGCTGGCTCCGAAGAGGAGGGTGGGGCACAGGTCCAGTGGCCCCGTAGGATGGAAGATGCCGCTTCTCAGCCTAACCCTAGGGAAAGTGGATGATCAAGTACATCCCAGCAGCTTCTGCTGCTTCTAGAAGGACAGGAGCTGAGGGTCGGGCTCTCTGGGCTTTGGGATACATTTGCAGCCGATGCTGACCCTCATCATCAGCAGGACCTGAGTCCGAGAGAACCGACACTTGGCTTGAACCTCTCGGCCTCACCCTAGCAAGCTCCCAGGCCAGGCTTATGAACACCAGATCCTGGGAGTGGGGCTGGGGCACTGTGCTCCGGCACAGCTTGCGGGGGAGGGAGAGGATTTGCTTAGTAAATGGCTTGAACACCTTCTCCACTGTGTCCTGTTCTCTGTCTGGCTCCCCTCAGGCATGGACCTGCTGCCAGAGCGGGCCCTTGGGTCCAGATCTCTTGGCCTTGGCTCATGTCCTCTCTGTCCCCCACTCACCTTGCAACTGCGTGAACAACACAACCCAGACTCTTTGTGGCCCAGGAAGGTGAGATCTAAAGTCAGGAGTTGCTGCTGAGTCCCAGGGCTGGGGTGGGAGCGGGGATCGTGCCAATAGAGGAATGCAGGTTGGAATTGGCCCCCACCAATCAGAAAGGGTAGGGGCTGGGGCTCAGACTGCAGGAAGTGCTGAGTGGGCACCAAGCTGCTGGCTTTGCCTGGAAGAGGCTGGGCCCCATGTGCTACCCATCAGGGTTACCCATCTCTGGGTGATGCCAACTGGCCACAGTTCTCTGGTAAAGAACCCACCAGGCTCTTTCTGCCTCTGATAAAGGTGAGTAGGGACAGGGGTGAATCCAGGATGTGTACCTGGCTTCAGCAGAGCTGACTGCAAACTGACCAGCGCATTGCCATGGGGATGGTTGCCCTAAGGGTGTCTGGGCTTGGCTTCAGCCCATCTTGGTTCCTCACTAATCTAAGTACAGAACTGTGTGGGGCCTGTGCCCACTCTGCTAGCCTAGCAGCCAGCCCAGACTTGTGCTGACCCTCAGCTCCTGTGCCATCTGTGCTGAGAGGACCCTCTGGGACTTTCCTCCTGGTGGGAACCCTGGGAGCCAGGGCTGGCCCTTGCCAGGTGCCTGAAGTGGACTCAAAGGAGGCAGAACAGGGCTATACAATAACTCCTGGCCCTATTAACAATTTTGAGTTAGTGTGTCTTTACCTCTGCCAAAGGCTGGGCCAAGAGAGCAGTGGAAGGGTGCGGGGGCTGCAGGGAGGAACCTTAAGCCCAGCCAGTGGGAAGACTTGGCATCTGCCCCTGACCCTGGTCTCAGGAGTTCTGCCCAGAGATGTCTGGGCTGTGTCCAGCAGCAAGGAGTTTCCTAGGCCTGGCCAGGCTCCGACCACTGTAGGAAAGGGGGAAGAACCTGAAGAAATGGGCTTAGAGGGGTTCAGAGAAGCCACTGTGAAGCTACCCTGAATTCTGGGTAGATGGCTGGAAGTTGCAGAAAATGCAGCAAAAAGGGGCTCTTAGGGACTCCCAGTAATCTGGCTGAAGTTTCTAGACACTGGGACAAGCCCCATAACACAAGGGTCCCCAGAACCTCCCATGGTACACCCCTAGGTCTGTGCAACAGGGATTGAGAACCCCTGAGAATATGAGAGTATCTGAGGCACACTGGAGAGGTCCATCCCAGCATCTGGAGCCAGCCAGTGCCTGGTGCCGGGTGTTTGGGCATATAGCCCCATGCATCAGCCTGGGTTCAAAGGACAGCTGTGATGCATGCCAGGAGCGCAAGGCCAAGCTCCTGCTATGGGGTAGTGAAGGGATGGTGGTGGTAAAATTCTCATAGGACAGGGAGAGGAGCCAGCCTTCAACCCAGCCAACCCCAACGCTTTCAACCCTTCCCAAAGGCTGAAGTAGAAGGATCAGAGAAACTGGTGGTAGGAAATGTACACTGGTGAAGGGACATGTGTTGGAACACTCTATGACTGAAACCTAGTCATGAACAACTTTGGAACTGTGTATCTCGTGGTGATTCAATTAATATATATATATATATATTTATTTAAAGTGAAGATCTGGGGCTGGAGCAACAGTATAGAGAGGGTACGGTGCTTGCCTTGCACATGGCCGGCCTCGGTTCAATCCTTGGCACCAAATATGGTCCCCTGAGCACTGCCAGGGGAGTGCAGAACCAGGAGAATGCGCACCACTGGGTTGGCCCCAAGAAGGATGGATTTGAGATGTGGTCCATAGGGGGATGCAGTGGGGCAGCTGATGCTGGCAGGTCCCTGGGGCATTGCTGGCAGTGGCAGAACAGGTGGGGACCCCCTGTCCATTTCTGGGGAGCCTAGAGCGCAAGATGGCAAGATTTGGTCCCTGGAACAAGTTAGGTGTCCTGTTCCTTTGCTGTTTTCCAGCTGGGCCTCAGGATCTCTGAACCCACAGAGGGCTTAAGGCACAGTCAAGAGCTACACCAGGTATGGAGTCAAGGTAGAGGTGTGAATCCTAAAATCAGCATTTTATTTCATTTAAAAACCCACTGTCCCTGAACCTAAACCTCTGTCCATAACTTACAATCTACAAAAATGCCGGTTAATATAAATAAGGAGGAGGTAAATTCTGAAGACATCGTATGCTGGAAAAGAGCAAAAAGAAAAGAAAAAAATGAGTTTCAAACAATTCTGAACATTCCCCAAACCAAACAAGTTGCTTGGCCTTCCCTCTGATCTGCTGGGCCGCTGCCTCTGAGTCATGAAGTCTCCATCCTTCAGGAGGGAGAACTGGGCATCCATGGGTGGGAGGCTCCCCAGGACCACTGAGCTACTTACTGTTGTCATGAACACCCTTACCAAGTCCAGACTATCGCCCACTTGAGAAACTGATGGTCATGGCCCTGCAATACCCCCTCACCTACAGGCCCTACCCAGTGGCTCTATGGGTTTTACATAGCTTCTCCCCGACCCACAGTTCAGAGCTTCTCACCCCTCCCAAATAGCCCACCCTGCAACATGGTGAGCCCCATGCACCCCAAGAGAGGAATTGTGGGTCCCTACGCCCCCTAGTTGCTTCTCATTCGAAACTGACAGGATGATAGGAATGGGTATCTGACTCCGGCAGATTTGAGCTCACCCTGGGCCAGCAACAAGGATCTTGGCTACTACAGCCTTGACAGGGCCCAGCAGTCCCCCAGAGGCTCCGGCCTGGGGCTCCAGGAGATGCAGGGCTGGGCACGGGCAGTCACTGGGCAGGGCTGAGGTGGGGCCTGGGTTATGAAATGGTCAGGAGAAACGGCATGTCCCTGGCCCATTTCCTGAGGCCCCTCGAAGAAGAGGTGGTGTCTGAGGGCACTGGGGGAGCCCTACCAGGGAAGGCCCACACAGAAGGAACATTTTACAAGCCTCAGCTGAGTGGCTGCCAACGATTTGGCTTTGTCAAAAGTCAAGCACACAAAAGCCCAGAGACGCCTCTGGGCTGTGGCAAGGCTGCAGGTGGCCCTCCAAGCGGCGGTACTCTTGTTCCTGGCGGTGCCAGGAGGCCTTTGTTCCATGCACTGAATGCACTGAGGCCAGTGTGGCCAGGAAAGGGTAAATGCCAGCTCTTTCTGAAGACTCCCAGGAGCTTAATGAAATTAATTTCCTCAAAAAAATGGCCCATTGTGGCACATCGGGCAGCCAAGGGCCAGGCATTCCTGGGAAAAACGTTTTGACCCTGAATCTCTTGAGGAGCCTTGTTCTGACTGAAAATCCAAGTAGAAGCCTGGCTTAAAGAGACGGAGGAAATCAGGGAAAATGTGACACTTGGCCAGGGTCTCCGGTCTCCCTTGAGCCCCACAGGAACTTGGCCAGGACCTGGCTCCCCCAACTCACCCTCAGGACAAGAGGGAAACTAGTGCATCCAGAAACTTGCTCCGATCCTCTGCTTTCAATTCAATTACTAAAGTAATGAAAGAAAAACATCTGTGAGGTGGGAGGCGTGGGATAGATGAGGGAGAGGTGAGAAAAACAAGTGAGGCTGAGCACTCCCTCCTCCCCACCGTTCAAGACTGAAATAAACCTCCAGCACATTCCAACCTCTACAAGGCTAATTGATGGCCCAGACTAGCTGGGACTAAAGTGACTTCTCTCTCTTTGTCCCTCTCGATTTAAACCTTAGAAACTGCCTGCTGTCCTGTTGCAGGCTGGAGCTGAGATCTGCAGGGAGGAACCTCTAGGCAGTCAAGGTGCCAGTGGCGAGAGCCGGTGCTGGGGACATGGCAGATGTGATGACGCAGAACAACACACATCTGGTCCCGCCCTGTATCACAGGGGGTCCAGGTGGATCTGAGTTTGGCAGAAGTCAGCGTCTCAGCTTTAGTGCCCCTTTCTGTAGCAGGGGATAGGATATGTGTCTAGGGGGCCTTTGAGGCTCAACCCAGCACCTGGGTCTTCATCAGACAGCCAAGCCAGCCTGATCCTGCAAGTCCTCAGTTCCTCCATCAGGGCACCCTCAAATCCTACCCCACTGTCCATTCACAGGGAGAAAAAGCAGCTCCTGGCCTCCAGTCCTTTCTGTGTTGAGAAAAAACATGTTGCAAGCCTGTTGGTGCTAGCCTGCTTCATAGCAGGCAGGAAGCTGGAGTCTGAAGGAACTGGGTTGAATGAAGCCAGCTTTAGGAAAGGGAGAGACTGAAGAGTATAGGGTGTCCGATATGCTCATCAGTAAGGAATTGGGGGGGGGGGGGGTGAGAATAGGCCCTTTATGAGAGATGGTTGTAAGAGGCCAAAAAGTGTCCCCCACCCAGTTCCAGTGTGGAAACTCTACACACAGTGACTGTATTTGGAGATGGGTCCTTTTTCAAGGTGAGACTGGGTTAAATGAAGCCCGAAGAGTGGGCCCTAACCCAATTCAGTTGCTTGTCCAAGAGAGGATTTGGATGCAGGACACCGTAGGATTGTGTGCATATGGAGAATGGCTGTGAGGATGCAGATGAGATGGCTGCCTGCAAGAAAAGGCTTCTGGAGAAACCATGCTCCAGACCAGGAGGAAGAAATCCAATTTAAAATTCTAGTCTGGTAGCCGGAGAGGAAAAACAGTGTGTAAGGCGTTTACCTAGGACATGACCAACTTGAGTTCGATCCCTGGTACCTCTTAAGATCCCCCGAACCCTATCAGGAGTGATCCCTGAGTGCAGAGCCACGAGTGAGCCCTGAGTACAGCCGGGTATGGCCCCCAAGCCCCAAAAATAATAAGATAAATTTTGTCATAAAGAATGAGAAACAAGTACGGCCTAATGTGAGTCCTGTTCCACATTGGCGTCTGGGAGGCTGTAGGTAGTGTGTGGGGTGCTGGTAGACTGTAGGTGTGGTTTCCCAAAGTCCCCAACCAGGCCAGTTCCTTCCA